TTCATGCAGCAAAACTCAGACACACAACTTATTTGTGATACTAGGAATTTCTGAAATCAGAGAAGGACGTTCACAGTAACTGTGGCCACGATGTGCTTCCAGTTCTCTGATAATATATATATAAATGTGTATAAATATTGAAACTCCTAATAAAAATAAATCCATTAAAAGATATCACAATGGTGGAGGTTCATAATTGTTCCTCCTTCAGAACAAAAGACCTCACATGACCCGTGAGAAAGATACATAATTATTCCTCCTGTAAAGAACAATAGTTCTCACATCTTTGTCATGCTATGGTGGTCTAGAATTGCCTTCTCAAACAACATGAAATTTAAAGATAAATAGTACCTTAATTAAACCTAATCATTATGATTCTACAAGTCCAACAATAAAGATTTTAGAGCTAAAAGATGGTGAAATCTTTTATTAACCACTCAACTCCTGTGCATGTTGGCTTGACTAAGTACAAAAATGTACAAAAAGATTAGTGCACTCACTAAACAAGTAACCCTCACAGTCATTCAAAATCTGACGATAAACATGAAATTACCTACCTTCGTTACCTGGAGATGGTTTCGTAAGTTACAGATTTTCCCAGCGTAACCTGAAAAAATGTCACGAAAAATCACATGAGATTTTCACCAGTTCCGTAATCATGCTGGCCATTTCGTGACATTTTTTACAGTTACTGCGCCACACAAGAAAGCGATTTTGTTTTTGACCGACTTTTGTTGTTCATATAGACTGTCCCGCCATCTTTTTCTTGTTAGGAGAGTTTAGAACTCAGAAACAACATTATTATTAGCCTTTAGTTTATATTGTTCATATGGACCATCAAAGGACACTATACTTTGAAGACATAGTGATAGTGGGTTTTAAGTTCGTGTCTAAGTCTATAAAACATATATATTATCATGTAAATAACAATGAAGCGTATTGTTAGGTATGTAACGCTTGAAAAATTTTTGATTTCGCAAAAATTTTTAGTATATTTTCTTTGATGTGTTTATTGTGTAAAATTTTTTAAGAAAAAAATTTTTTGTAAGAAAAAAAAAAAGGAAATAAGGTCATTTTATATGTTTTATTGTTGTACAATTTTTTTATAAATTATTTACAATGACTCATTACAGTACTACAGTGCCGCGCCTTTAATGTCAACATAGTTACTGATCAATCTGATAATCTATCTATATTTATCAATAATTGTCATCGCGTCGGCGCGTCGCGTAATTGATTAAATTGATTATGTATTATATGTATTATATATTAAACATATACAATTTATTCCCTATAAAAAAAAATTTAAAAATTCTGGAAAAAACTCCAGTTTTTACTCCAAAGAAACTCAGACACGTGATCATTTTTTTCCGAAATTTTTTTTAATTTGAATAGTTATCTTTTATGCAGAACGTGTAGACAACTAAAGAAAAAAACAAAAAATTTTATATTACGGTCGCTTCTGTTGAACAAGTTAATTGTAAATACTAAAATTTCTTCATTAAAAATCAACATCACGAAATGATCCAATTAGAATTCATCAAATTGTTGATCATATCTTCAAAGATATTATTATACGGTATTATACGGCATTATACAAGTCATCTGTTTTAAATCATAAAATTTATTTAGCTTTTCTAAGTCTCCAACATGAAACGTGATTTGTATATCAGAAATATATTATTTTTATGTTTAACAACAGCAGCGGTATGGTTTTTTTTTATTTTAACCTTTACAGAGTTTTATGACAAAAATACCAAGTGTAACTTATGAAAATGGCTGTAAATAAATAATTATTTACTATTGGAAACGAAGTGCTGCATTAGATAATAATATTATAGGTTTGACATGCAATTTTTTAATAAGTTACTTATATGTATTAGGATCACGAAGATATAGGACTAATCCTAAATATGATAATAGTATAGGATACTACTACTTCAGATTCATCTGCACTTTAGTTTTATCTGAATGGTAAGATAATGTAATAAGTAAAATAATTCTTTGAATTAATTAATTAATTAGTATTTTTTTTTTATAGACAGATGATAAAAGAGGCGGCGTAATTACTTAGTGATAGTGTACTTCATAAGTCCTGAGATAAATGACAATGGTGTTAATGTTATGGTTACGTTAATCCCTTATTCAATGACAATATTGTCAGCTAACTAGTTTCGTCTTACATTTTTTTTTATTTCAATTTCTAAATTAATTGTCCGGTTCCCTTGTATTATTTTATTTTATCTTATATAAATTGACATATTTTAATAATGATAAAATTAAAAACTGATCTAGTAATAAAAAAAAACTAAATAATATTTGACATAAGTTTTTTATAATTCTGCCATTAAACCTTTAAAGGATTTGAATTTTTTTTTTCAAAAAAAAAGTAGATCGGTGTCTTTCTAATTATAGTTAGAACAATGATCTGTAAAATGAAGTACATTTGTGGCAAAGAGATAAGGCGTTTTTTTTTAATACAAATGTTAATATAAAATAATTTACTATACTATAAATGGTTTAAAGCAATTTATTTGTATTCCCAAATTTAAGATCAAAGTAATAAATTTAGACGGCTGTTACCGATTTTACTTTTGGTTTTCCCCTGTAGTAAGTCATGTGTTGGGCGATCTACAATGAATTTTTGAAATATTCACATAAAAAAATTATTAATAGAACCTAAAATTTATTTTTTTTTTCAAAAAAAAAGTGTTTATATTAAGCATAATTCTATTTTTACAAGTGCATAAATGTATTGTTATGAAAATAAACTAAACATTTTTAATATCTCTTTAATTGGCAATTGCGAGAATTACTATATGTCTATACTGTATGTCCAAGGTTGATGATAAAGTGTACATTTTCTAACTCTTTGATCCACTAACTAGAATCAAAAAGAGTTTAAATTCGGTCTGCATTAAAAATTCACATGACTAGACTCAGAAAGATCATCGGGCCGGACTCAGTAAGGATATACTCATAAGAGTAAATAAGATTTCCTTAGTGAAATTCTTTTGGCAAATACAAATGGTCGATCCATACAATTATATATTTTATTTATTGTCCTTTAAAATACTAGTACGGTAACACTAGTATTATTTTAAGTGATTCGTAACCAAAACGATGGACGCTGGATAAATTTTATAAAACATTTTAACCATAACGTTGTGACTGACATCGGATAAATTTTATATTAATTCCATCAAAAATAGTATTTCATGTAATTATTATTCACTAAATTAAATAAAATGAATAGCAAAAATTTCTGAGGCACGAAGGAAATCTTGAGTTTCACTTGAGGCAGTTTCTTTTTGATTACTTTGATTCAAAAGATAATTTAATTGTTAGGACATGAATTGATAACTTACGTCAAGACTATATAATTTAATCGAGTATTTACTAAATAGATATATGAAACAATCTTTTTATGATAAAATCAATCTCATTTTTTCTATTGAAATATAAAAAATGCAATTAATAGTTTTCTTATAATCCTTTTGATTATTGAAGAATCATGTAAACTTATCAACCATTTATATCTTTGATCAATTAACATTAATCAAATTAGGTAATTTTTATTCCAAAATTTCCGAATTAAATAATTAAATAATTTTTTTGCTTAAAAAAAATTTGTCATTTCCTTGGTATTATTTATTATGTAAAAATTATCTGAACTGCGAAAATATAAAACATTTAAATATTAAATATATTTACATTCATATGGGAGAAAATTATATGACAACGAAATTTATAATCTTGAGTAACAGGTAAAAAATTATGAACTTAATAAATAACGATAAATCAATATATAATTTTGGTCAATTTAATATTGCTGAAACATCTTATTGACTTTGAATAATACTTAACCATTGACTATATAATAAAATGAAACATGAAAGTTATTTTAAAAAAAAAATTTTGATGGAATTTGGATAAATCTATTTTGAATAACTCTTGTATGATATGTGAAACATGATATAAAAAATAATTAACTCAGCCATATAACACAAACTTTAATATTTTTACTTAAATTAAATCGTTATACTATATTATTGTCATAAAATGAGAATTTTAATAAACAGACAAAAATTAATTTTTACTGAACCGATAAGTGTATAACAACAGGACCCCGGACAATTATAATTAAGGTAATATCTTCTATGCTAAAAATTTACCCTTGTCATCCTGAACTTACTTTCAAAGCTATAGATACAAAACTTTGCAATAATAATTGCCCTCCTATTATCTATAATTTTATTACTTAAAAAGTAATATTTAATAATAGTAATTTTTATTTTTTTGTATATTTCTATGTATACCGATAGTGAAAAAGCGTATATTTTTTTGCCAAATTTTGCCTGTGTAATGATACTTATCTCAAATTCTAATCAGTAGATTCACAAGATTTTGGTATCAAAAGATTCTTCTCTTCAAAAGAAACATTTTTTTCTATGGTAAAAAATAATATTAACTTAATAAAATTACATGTTAAAAGAAAAATAAAGTTTAAAACATAGTAAGATATGACCTCAATTATAATTATCCGGGGTCCTATAACAACATTACTTGGTATTAACTTTTATATCTATAACAAATTCTAATAGACATTAAATGTGTATATGGTATTTCGAAGTTTCAGTGATTGTTTATTGAGTTAAATTAACTGAAGTTATTTTCGCTTTCAATTTCTTTTACTTTGAGATAATTTAAGACATCAAGCTCCAGATTTTATCTTGAATGTTTGCTAGTGATAAATCTTCGTTAGTTATCAAAAAATATATAGAATAAATTATATCCAGATGATATTACCTATTAATAATTCTGACTAATTCATTAACTGTTATTTGTTAAGCTTGTTAATTACTTAAATAATATATAATATCATTTATCATCATGATTTTTTATTAGATATAACTATTTAAAATTTATTTATAACCAATATGCCATACATAAAAAGATAATTTAATAATGTTATTTAATTAAAATAATTCTCTGATTCGAAAGAAAACTTCATTCAATATTATTTTTATCATCTTGATTCATTTCATTAAGATCTATAAAATAAATAAATATATATATATATGAATAAAGCATCAATAAAATAAACCACTAAAGAATAAATATCTTACCTGATTCATCTAATTGGCAATCAAAACCTTCTGAAACTATAAATCGATTAAATTAATATTAATAGAATATTAATTATATAAATTACCAATAAATATAATTACTTACATAATGTTGATTGAATAGTAGCACCTGTTAGAAAATATACAAATAATTAGCAACATAAATAATTTTTCATTAAAAAGTAATTAGATTAAATTACCTGAATTTACTGGTTCAGGAAGATTTTTGAAATTTAAAAGTCTACTAGTATAGATTGCTTGTGGATGTGTTTGAATGTTATTAGATCTTTTTTCACTTGTTCTGTTTAATTTGATTCTATCATCATATTCATTATCAAACCTTCGAAATTCCTCAAGTTTTTGATACAATTCTTCAGCAGTTGGTCTATTTTCTGTTTTAGCATCCCAACATTTAGTAATCAAATCTGCAAGCAATTTTGGTGTATATTTAAAAATATTTGGTCTAAGTCCTTTACATATTTTAATAGCTAAAGCAGGATTATGAGGAATATTATTATAAGGAGTTTCTTCAGATATATATTCATTCATCATTATTCCAAATGAATAAATATCAGATGCTTTTGTATATTGATATCCACGTAAAACTTCTGGTGCCACATAAGGTAATACTCCATAAATTCCTTCTTGTTTAACTGATTGCTTTTCGTTATTTGCTGGTTGACACATTCCTAAATCACTTATATATGCCAAAGCAACATTATACAATATATTACCTGAATGAAAATCTTTATGAACTTTTCCAGCATTGTGAATATCTAGAAGTCCATTTGCAATGTATCTTAAACTACTAATTTTTGAATAATAACTTAATTCATTATTTAAATAGTAATTTCTTAAATTTCCATTTTTACAATAGTGTAAAACCATCATATAATCTTTAGTATTTGGATCTTGAGTTATTCCATAACATTGAATAATGTTCCAAAGACAAATATGAAGATGAGATTTAATCTAACAAAAATATTGAAAAATGATAAGTTTTTAACAAATATATAAATAATGCATAAATAAAAATTTTAAATAAATTGCATTTCTTATTTTAATTACCTCATCTAAAAATTCTGTACTTATACAAGAAGAATTATCCAAACTTTTTAATGCAACTTTCTCATTACTAACTCTTCGCCATTTTTGATTTTCAATATTCCAAGAAATAATATTTCCTACAAGCCATACAGCTGAATATATTTTACCATATCCACCTCTGGTAATATAAGTAATATCGTTAACATTTTCAAAAGGTATCCATTCAAGATATTTACTATAATGTACAGCATTAAGTTGTGATTGTTGAATAAATTTATCAATATCTTTATTTCCACTAGTCCAATTTTTAAAGTTATCTCTAAATCTTTTAGCATTACAAGATTGACACCATTCAAATCCTGTTCCAGGTTCATTACATTCTCCACATATTCCATATACTTGTTTTCTTTTTTCTAAGTCATTCATATAAACTGTTTTTTCATTTGCCTCTTCTATTAATTCAGTAGTTGAAATTGTAACATGTAGCTTTTAAAGTAAATAATTAAAAAAAATTCTATTATTATTTAAAAAATAATGTTATTATTAATAACGATAAAGTGAACTGTTATTACCTGATAATCATAATTGTATTTCTTCCATAAACTTTTAAAATTTTCTTTAGAGTTCATTTTGGATATTCCCATATGATTTAGGTTGTACAGTATATACTATATAGATTGCAATCTACTTATTAAATCCAAAGATAACAAGTATCGTTACTTTAATGAAGCGTAAAAATATAAAAAAAAAGTAACGGAGTTCGGGTAAATTTATTCGCAAATAAATTCTTGTGCAACATGTGTAACGTTCATAAAAATTTCTATAAATAGTATGGTATAAACCTGGGTTACAATTGATCGGCATAAATGAAGATTAGAAAATTTTCGCTGATAAATTGGATTAACTAAAATTGTTTTCTAAAATTGATATCCCTATTATCCCTATAAAAAATTTTATCCGTTATTTTTTGTAAAAACTCTGTAAAAAGTAACTTTTACCGGATCCATGAAAATAATTCGATAAATTCCATGATATAAGGTTATTAATTCCGGAAATATGAGCCTTTTTTCGGAAAAAAAATGGAATATAAAAAATGGATCGACTTTTTTTTTACAAGGTATAATGATATTTATATTAAAGTTAAAATGATTTCTAACTCAGTCTTCAACTACTTTTACTTAAATGATCATTACATTAGTTATTTAGTAGGAATTGAAAAGAATGGCTCATACATTGCAGAAATTTTTAAAATCGAAACCATATCGTGACCAAGTCGAAATTTTATCATAAACCTTATAACCAAGGTTTGGTCACGATATGGTCTCACATCGTTACAATAAGTTCAAGTCTATCGTATGTATAAAGTTGATGCATATTAAGGAGATCGTCACCTGATTTAACTGGGTCGTACAAATATCGTATCGAGATTAGTCACATATATATTAGAAATATATTAAAGTTGTATTTAATATATATAAAAGTTATATTTAATGCATATAAAAGTCATATTTAATGTATCGTAAATTTGCGTTTACTTTATAGTTAACATATCGTGAAGTTGTATTTAATTTATATATAAGTTATGTTTAACATATTGTAATATTGCATTTGATTTATATAAAGTTATATTTAACATGTCGTAAAATTGTATTTAAAGATCAAATTAATTTTTATTTTCAATGTCGCAAATAAATCATAAAAACTCAACTCTAATTAAGAAAAAAAGTATTCTATCTAAATCCTATTGTATGTAAGTTTGTTGTTCTAAATCATGAATAAAATGAAATTTTTTTATGAACAGTAATTAATAAATAAATAATAAACATTAAACGGCTTTGAAAAATATAAATTTCGCATATACAAATCAAATTCTGCCATAATATCCTTAATGTCGCAATCTTAATGCCGTAAAATGTTCTAAAAATTTAGAAAATTAAAAATAAACGATTCCCGTCCTCCTCTAATTCTCCTTACCTCATCAGCACAAAGTCTAATTCGTCCATTTCAACCCCAAAATGCTGGCGTCTCTATTATAAAAGAAAAAGAAACATTAGTAAACGTTTCTTAAAAATAAATTTAAAAAAACACTACTCTCAATTTACCCGTAAAGCTAAGTCCATTCCAAGAGTCCGGTGTCTACAAAAGAAGAAAGAACGTTAAAAACATTCCTTAATTAACATATACCACCCATCCCATTTACCTGCTGGTTGTCTCATTCGTCCGGGTTTGGGCTCCTACAAAGAAAGTGTATTTATATAAAAAAAAGAAATAAAAAGAAATTTTAGTTAAAAAACCGAAAAATAATGAAAAAAAGAAAATTAAAAAAGGTTTCTATTTAAAGAACTTAAAAATAAAAAATAAAAAATAAAAAGAAATTTCGGTTAAAAAACTGAAAAAGAATAAAAAAAAAGAAAATTAAAAAATGGTTTCGGTTTAAAAAACTGAAAAAAAGAAAATAAAAAAAAATTTCGGTTTAAAAGAACCAAAAAAGAATATAAAATTTTAGTTTAAAAAACTGAAACAAAAAATAAAATAAAATAAAATTTGGTTTTTTAAACCGAAAAGAATCTTCTTGTTCAATCAAATCACATATGTCAATATCGATCATTCTTGAATATTACGACATCTTTAGTCGTTTGTTCATCCAGATTTCCTAAGTAAAGAAGGGAAACGTTAATTACGTTCCCTGAAAGTAAAAAAATAAAAAAAAATAAAGAAACGAACTTACCTAGTCGTTCTTTTATTCTTTTAAACCCTGGTCTTTCGTCCGTCCAGGTTTCCTAAAGAAAAAGAAGGGAAACGTTAATAATTACGCTCCCTGAAAGTAAAAACTAAAATAAAGAAACGAACCTACCTAGTTCGTTCTTTTATTCTTTTAAACCCTGGTCGTCCAGCTTTGTCTGTTCATCCAGGTTTCCAAAAAAAAAAAAAATTTTTTAAAAAAAAATGTAAAAATTTATTTTATTCGGAACAATATGTGAAGATTATTGGATCAGAAGATTTTTATTAACGTTAAGGATAAGAC